GTAGAGGATGGAGAAGGACCCTTCCTAACCACCCCCGCCCTGCCCCATCCAGCATCAGGGAAATCCCATGCATGATTCATCCATCTTACAACTGTTTGGGGGATTTTCCACAGTGACCCAGAGGCCCTCTATGTTGATTTGGCTGGCTCCCAAACCCCTCAAAGTCTTCAAGGCCAGTAAGGGCGGCACATCTTCCCTCTCAGGGATGGAATCACACCTAGATCGTTGTTCTCATGAATGTCTATTCATGTTCCATGCATTAGTGGGTCTACAGCAGCCTCTCTCACTGTCCATTGGTCCAGCCATGGCTGTGATTTTATTCTAGTCAAGAGTGAAGAGGACAAAAAGAGCTCAGGCAGCAATCTGGCCTTGAAGAACTCATCTCTCCTTGAGCTGGGGCCGGGAGAAGGTGATGCTGAATGAAGGTGAATAGCTGAATGAGGACCCCAGAGGACTGATTCATAGGACCTGAAACTTTTGGCCCAGTGAAGGCCAAGAGCTGAGGACTCTTGGGGAGAGGCAGGCTTCAGCTGGTATGGTGAATAAGCATAGATACCATATTAGTTATGTAGACAGGGAGCAGAAGTTACATACGAGGTAGAACCTCCCAAAACCAAGGGTGTGAGACATAAACATTCTGGGCCTCAAGAAGAGAGGAAATGTCCTTCCCGTAGGGATAGTCATGGAGGTGGTAGCTGGACATCGGTGGGATGGACTGGCCTCTCTGCACTGAAGTCTTGAAGCCCGTTCACACGCTGGGCAAACTTCCTGCTTCCTGGCTCCTTCTTGATGTTCTTGGTGCTTCTCCACTGAGAACTCATGGCAAACTCCCATCCCAGTCCCAGTCTTCTTTAACACCTGTTCCTCCAAGTCCACACACACACACACACACACACACACACACACACACACACACACACACACATACACACACACACACACACCAGCCACCCTCCCCGGGCCCACCTCTCTCTTTATTTCTTTATCCATTAGCTTTGTTTAGGCCAACATTGCCTCTGCTGCCTGGCCACCCTCAACCAAGGCTTCAAGGGAACACAAGAATTGAGATCAGATCTTGGCCTAACAACCTTACCATTGTGGTGGTGGAGGGGGGCACTGTGTGATCTAGAGTGACCTAGAGTGGCAATGTGCCCAGCCTATGGCAGCCTGCAGAAGGAAAACCCAGGGAAAGGGGGATCCAGCTCAGTGTGTGGCACCCAGACCATCAGAATTCCACTAATGGAAAACACCAGAAGTTTCAATAGAGAATGGGCAGGAAGCCCATGGGGCATCGGGAAGGACTGGGAAAGCGTGGCAGCTGGGTGGGCCAAGGACTGGCTCCCATCCTGGGAGGCAGGGTGGTGTCTGGAAAGAGTGTGGGCTGTGGAGGACAGAGCTCACTCTGTCTTGACTCCGTCACCCTAGATTTGGGACGTCTATGTTTCAGGACAAAGAACACTCACCTGGAGGGATGGCACAGGTGCTGCTGCCAGCCTGTGGAGAGTGGCCCATGGGAGTCACAGACATTAGCTTCTACCCCATGCTGGCACTCTGGGGCTGCCCACAGGGAGGGGCTGTGGGAAAGAGGCTTCATAGATGGAAGACAGGAGGTGACAGTGCCCCCAAGGCAGGCAGGTGCTCTGGGGACCTGTCTCCTTCTCTTTACCCTTCAGAGATGGCCTGTGTGATCCAGTGTGATCCAGAGCTACAGCTGGACTGCTGTGCCTGGCTTGGCCAGCTGAGGGGTGCCCCCCACCTGGGTACCTCCAGGCTGGCTTCTACCAGTACTCACAGTGGCTGCTCGAAGTCAGAGCCCTGTGGGGAGGTAACTCAGCCCACAGCTGCCCAGCATATGCTGTGAGTACAAATGGAAGACAGTGGAGTCTCTGGTCACTAGAAAGGAGGGAGGACAGGACCATCGAGGTGGTCAAGACAAGTGTCTCTGCAGCAAGGGCATGAACCAAGCATCGCGGGCTGTCACTGCTTACACCTGAGAACGGGACTCTGCAGAGAACCGAGTTAGCGCTCCTTTCTTCTCTGCTTCTCCTGGAGTCATGGCGACCAGTCCTCTACCTCTTGGTCCTCTTAGCCCTGACGGAGCCCATTGGCCCCCTTCTATCTCCTTTGGTAGATAGAAGCCACCTCACCCAGTAGAGCCATCCAGCTGCATCTCTATCTCCAGCCCGGGACACCTCGGCATCTCTGTCACCCCTGGTGATAGGTCTAGTCGCATTTCAGGTCCTTTGTGTGGTGTCGGGGGTTGAATGAGGGGTAAAATTATTTTGCCACTAAGGGAATCTGTTGTGCAGCAGGAGAAGCCTCATGTCTCAGATCCTGCCTGCCTCTCAGCCTTTCCATCCTCCCTCGCACTCCTGGACCATCCCAGCAGCAGTCTAGACCCAGCTCTTCTGAACGGCAGCAGCCACCATCAGGCTCCCAGCCTCTGCTGTCAGTTCCTCCACCTCCTTCTGCCCTGAGACCTGGGCGAGGTTAAGCCACTCCCTATCTGCCCATTTCGTGGAGTTAATTCCGACTTCCTGTGGGCAAGCGGACTTCCCATCGTCTTCCCAGGTTTTTCCCACTGAAGTCACTCAGTGTCACCACGGCTCCTGCCGTTTCCTCTGCCCTGTCCAGTTTCCAGAGCACAGTCCAGGTCCAAGCGCTCAACTGTCCAAACGGCTTGTGCCTTGCATGGAAACTTCGTTTACAGTGAGGGAGCTTAAGGAAAGTCAGGGCCCTGAATCTGAAGAGCCCTCCGCTAGGTCCTTCATTTCCTCTACCCTGGCTCCTTAGAGGGGCAGAAGGGCTTCTGACATTGGGGCATTCAGTGCTCTTAGACTAGAAAGGACTTTGGATATCACCAAGTCCTCTGCTCTTCAGAATGAGGTCCCTGGGGCAGCAGCATCTGGGAGCATGTTATAAATACAGCCTTGGGGGCTGGATGGATGGCTCAGCTGTTAAGAGTGATCACTGTTCTTTCAGAACCTGAGTTCAGTTCCCAACATCCAATCTGTGTCTCACAACCACCTTAATATCAGCTCCAGGGATTCAATACTCTCTTCTTGGCATCCCCTGCCCCGCCCCCACCACCCACAGATTATCAAAGGACTGAGGAGGCCATGGGGGAGGGGGGATCTGTGTGCATGTGCATTTATGGAGACCTGAAGTAAACATCAAACATCTTCCTCAATCTCTCCCCACTTTTTTAAAGTCTCTAACTAAACCTGAAGTGCTGGATAGACACTGTCACTATTCCTTTACCCCAAGTTATCCACAAGTCTTGCCTGGGCTCTTATCCAGCCAGGCACTCCCATGCTGGGACTTGCCATGGGGCTCACATGGAGCTCCCAGCTGCATCCTGCTCTGTCTCTGTGGCTCTAAAAAATAGACTAAGAACCCAGGTTAACTCTGTTCACATAGAAAGCTCCTATGAGCCCTAGGGCATAAAGGGACAATGTGGGGAGTCTTTACTCCCTCCTCCCCAGATACAAGTGGTAAATCAACAACACCCAGAGAAGCTCCCCACTATAAACCTGAGACATGTGTTAGATGCTCTTGACTGGAAACATCTTTTACTATCTCATTTTATTTCTTAACGTTGTAAAGGGAGTAGGTAACAAAAGCAGCAAGTATGTAAAGGACCTTTGCTAGGGAAATGGTAGGGTCTCTCTCTCTCTCTCTCTCTCTCTCTCTCTCTCTCTCTCTCTCTCTCTCTCTCACACACACACACACACACACACACACACACACACACACACACACACGCACACACGCTCACCTTGCCAGCCAAGGAATATGCCTGAAGGCTGCCTCCTGTATGTTGGGAGTTTCAAAACTGGCTCTGTGGCCTTGCCTCAAGCCACAGTCACTCTTCTGAGCTCTGTACCAGCTGCCCAACCCACTCAGCCCTTCCTCCAAGCCCCTGCTCCCTCTCCCATCCCACCTCCTCTGCTCTGTTCCAGCTCTGTACCCTTAGTCTTCTGTGTAGCCAAAACCCCCCTGCCTAGCCCCATTAGTATGGTTAGCTTGCAAACAAGTCTTTGCCCACTGACTTCGTGGACTCTGGGTTTCCATGACCCACAGATACCTTGCCCCTCCTCTGCCTTCATCCCGTCTCTAGCCACACAGCTGGCCTAGGGAATCTGTTCACTCCATGAACTCCTCCTCCACACAAGGCAAGACTGTCTTGGCAATAATCCTAGAAGGTGCCGACCACCCAGCCTCACCACGACTTACTCCACTGTACTCCAGCCTCAGCTTCTAGAAACTTGGCCTCCTGCCCTGTCTTGGCACAACAGCGGCCCAGGATGTGAGAGTCTCTAGTGAGGAGTCCATTCTCCCAGGAGACTTGGTACAGTGAAGAGCAGGGCAGCTACACAACCCACCTGCCTTCTAGGAAAGACCCCGGAACTGGGCCAGAGTTTTTGTCAGGACACAGTTCAGATGTCTGTCGATAGCCACAGACTCACCGCACAAACACTCTTCTTGCCCATCCTTCTGCCCCCAACGCCTCCTTCCAGCCTGTTCTCTGCATTCCCCCACCTGCAGCACCAGCGAGAAGCCCTCCTTCTGCCAAGCATGCTAAGACTTTGTTCATTTCTGCTCCACAGAGAAAGCCGTCACCCACTGGACCCACACAGGGCACACACACTGGCACACTTGCATGTGACTCAATGTGTGCCGTTGTGTATACATGTTCGCCTGAGCATTTGACTTGTGCTCACTGAATACTCGGAGACCAAGACGTCAGATTGCACGGTTTATTGAGGAGGCAACAGGGAGGGCTTTAAAGAATACAGGAGAAGCCAAGAGTGCCCTCTTTCCTCTGGTTCTGGGTGCAGGAAAGTGAACACTGAGTCCCTTCACCCTGAGGGGTCCCACTCAAAATGAGACTGTGCCGGGGTCGGGTCGGCTGGCCACTCTCAGTTCATTGTCTGTTAGTGGCCCTCTTGGATAGAGAGCTAGCTTCTGTCACCGGCAGGAGATGGGACAAAAGCTCAGCAGATGAGAAAGCCCAGACTGGGACCCAAGAAGCCAGGCAGCATGGTGAGGACAGAGGCAAAGGCTGGTGGGGGGGAAGAAACTGGACCTGAGCAGAGATGAGCTGAAGCTGATGAAGCCCTGGTGTCTACGGGACGCGCACCACACGTGGCAGCCCAGAGCTATCCAGACTCAGAACAGTGGAGGGGGAAGGAGGGTGGCTGAGGACAAATCCAGGGGCCCTGGGGTTCCGAGGTCGGGAAGCCCTCTCTACCGACTGCCTTTCTTGGAGGGGGTGCTCAGGCTGGAGCCCTTCGTTAGGGTGTCCTTGTAGTCACTGGCGCTGCCTCGGCTCCTGGTCTCTCCACCACGCACGCTGCACACTCCAGAGATGCAGCTAGTGCTGTTGGCCACGTAGCCACCGCTGACCGTGCTGGGCCGGAAGCCGTAGCCTCCGCTGCCACTGGTGCTGCTGATGATGGCTGCAGAGAGAGAGAGAGAGCTGGGCTCAGACCTACTCGGGCAGAGCTAGGGAGGGGACTCTCCTCCCCCCAAGACAGACAGGGCTCTGTGAGGACCTGATCATAGTCATTCCCTCACCCTGGGGAGAATATTCCAAAGACACCTTCCCTGTGTCTCTGACTTACTCAGTTTATACCCACTGTGACTGAGTCTTGCCCCGTTGATTCTCAAGCCCATCTCCTTCTACCAGGTACCCACGCACTCCCTTGTCTTGGGCACCCACCACTGTCCCCTCCGTTAGTGGCTTTGCTAAATCTGCCTCCAACCTCTTTCTCTTGCTGGCTCCCCACAGATGGCAATCTAAGACCCATGGTCCCAGATCCAGTCCTGATAGCTTGAAGCACCCCTTCTGGAGTCCCTTTAGTCCCCCCGACCCATCTAAATCCCCAGCCCCAGTCTGACTGTAACTTGCAAACCCAGCCTCGAAAGCCTGACACAGACCCCCACATGCATCATTTTCTTAGAATTCACCCTTTACTTCCCTTCTCCTGTGGCTGTCCCCTACTGTCATCCCCTGGGAAGCAGAATGATAAATATGAAAGAGTCCTAGGTCTGCCCTCTGGGCTTTGTGATCTCAGTCTTTTCCCTTCCCTTCCCTAGCTCCAAGCCCACAGAATACTTACAGATGCTGACAGGGGATGGGTACTCTCCTGACATCCTGTTATGGAGAGAAGTAAAATTAGGGGCATCCCACAGCCTCTTCCAAAACGCTGCCCCCACCAGCCCAAGGTGGGCTTCTGGCCCCAACGGGCACCTGTGGAAACTCCAGGACTGCTTTAGTACAACCAGAGCCTCAGAAGCTTCGAAGGCTACCCATGAACCTTTGGGAGTGAGCCGGCAACACACTGGACTGAATAATCGTTTTTAAGAGGTGCATGTGTGAGGACTGTATGTCCACTCCCAGTATCCTGCCTCGGTGAGCCTTCTCCCTCCCTAGCACACCGGGAAGCTGGAGTGGCTAGCCCAAAGAGGAAACAAGGAAACCTAATGGAGGAGTGGGATTCAGGAGAGAAAGGAAGTGGGATGCTCCCAGACACTCGGGGAGGTTGTAAGGGCTGCATGGGCTGATTCATGTAGCACACCACACAGCACAGCAACCAGGATGAAGTGAGCATTCAGCATTCATGGGTATGAGTCTCTCTCTCTCTCTCTCTCTCTCTCTCTCTCTCTCTCTCTCTCTCTCTCTCGCTCTCTCTCGCTCTCTCTCTCCCCCCAGGGTTTTATGTAGCCTAGGCTGTCCCCAGACTCACCATGTAGTCAGGGGTAACCTTGAACAGTCCTGACTACCTCACAAAAGCTGGGATGTCAGGCATGCGCTACCACGTCCAGTTGTATGCCGTTCTGATGATCAAAGCCAGGCTTCGCACATGCTAATCAAGCGCTCTGCCAACTGAGCCGCACCTGCAGCCCAGCTGGTCTTCCTAACTGCTGTCAGCATTCCTGATCTCACCAGGAATCATGGTGAGATTGCTCCCCAACAGCTCACGCTGGATGTGAGGTTTTCTCCTTTGTTGAAGCTTCCCAGGCTTCTTGCCCAAGCTCACCTGCACTCCTCGCTCTCCAGCAGCTTCCGGTAAGTGGCAATCTCCATATCCAGGGCCAGCTTTAGGCTCATGAGCTCCTGGTATTCACGCAGCATCCGGGCCAGCTCCTCCTTAGCCTGGTGCAGGGCACCCTCCAGTTCATCCAGCTTGGCCCGGGCATCCTTGAGGGCACTGTCCCCTCGCTGCTCGGCATCAGCGATGGCCGTCTCCAGATTAGAAGCCTAAGCAAGGAATTCAAGAAGTTAGAAAACTGAAGGAGGAGTGGGTATTGTCTGCAGCCAAACTCCCCACATTCAGTAAGATCCAGTGGCACGCTGGATGCACACCACACTTCTGCTCTGGCTGGAAGGGGCTGGCAAGCCCTCCTGGATCTCAGCTATGCCCCTGTTCCCAGACATATGGTCAGTGGAAAGCATGCCCCCTGTCCTCTGGAGACCACAACCACTTCAATGCCCAGACAATGATCATCAGGCTGCACTGTGAGTAAGTGGCTTTCTGTTCTTGAATTGTTTAGGGTCTGAGAGGAGAGATATTACAAGACAATGTGCTAGATGCAATGATGGTTCCTGCCCAGACACATGGCCCACAGGCTAGGGTCCCAGGAAGGAGATTCTCCCAGAATGATGATTATTTGCCCAGCACCTTGTCAGCACCACCCATCACTGTGTGCCCAGCACCTTGCTCAGCACCACCTATTCCATGCCTCATCTCATTTGATCCTATGGCCACCCGTGAAGTAAGGCGGGATGACTTGGACACGTGACTGCAGAACGGTTGTGTTAAAGCCCATAGGAAGAACATGGATTGTGTCTAGCAGCGGTATACTGCACAACCTCACCGCACCTCTCATCTGGTGTAGAGAGAATGGGAATGCTGCCCCTCAGGAGTAACATGTGAGGTGGGTGGGTAGAATCGTGGGCTATCATTTCATTCCCTCTGCATCTTCTGCCCCCACCTGCTAATGTGGGGCATTCCCACTTTACTGGGGACTCCCTGAGCCTGCTTCCCTTCTCAGTCGCATCAATGGTATTCATGAAGCTACTGCTCTGTGTAGGCACAGCTCAAGATGCTGAGGGGTCATGGAGCAGCCAGTGCCCTGACTCTTTTCATTCCAGAGAGCATGGGGAACAGGTGACTGCCAAGAGCTGTGAACAGATCAGGGAAGGGCAAACACTGAGGAGCCCAGCCTGCAGGAGGAGGTCTGAGCTCAGTCTGTAGGCCAGGGAGGGCTTCCTGAGAGAGACAAGAATACCCAAGGAAAGGCGCTGGGAGTGAGCAGGAAAGAGGGTGCCCCAGAGACGTCCAATTGCTGGAGGCAGTGACCTCACTCATATCTTCTGTTGTTAGAGACATCTGGGAAGCCAAGGCCCTCAACCAACTCACATGCCCTCCACTGGGCTCACTGCCCCTGGCCACAGGCCAAAGTCCCTCACCTGCTTCTTGGCATTCTCAATCTCTGAGCGGAGTCTCTGGATGAACCGGGTCAGCTCGGTGATTTCATTCTTGGTGTTTTTGAGGTCATCCCCATGGCGGCCAGCTGCCAGCTGCAGCTCCTGGAACTGGAAAGGCCAAAGCACAGAGGTGGAGAAGTGTGATGGCGTGGGGTCTGTGGAGGTCCCTGCATCCCTGGCTGAAGGGCCATGGCACCAGGGCACCGGGGACTCTGACCTGGGCACTGTCCCTTATCTGAGTGTAATTGGGCTGATAAGAAGGCTGAGAAGCCTTCACATCATGGTGTTGCCTCACCTGCCCCGCCCCCCGCCTCTCACCTTGGTCTGATACAGCGCCTCGGCCTCGGCTTTGCTCTTCAGGGCAATCTCCTCATACTGGGCGCGGACCTCATCAATGATGCTGTCCAGATCCAGGTTCCTGTTGTTGTCCATGGACAGGATGACGGACATGTCGCTGATGTGGGACTGGATCTGAGCCATCTCCTACAGGGACCATAGGTGGGGGAATAGATCAGCTTGACCAATGACAAACTCTAGTGATGCCGTATAGGGTCTAGAACATGAGATTGCTACCTTCGTGTGCAAAGAAAATACCTTGCTGGACCCTAGGCAGGTTCCGCTGCCATGGAATGAGGCCTCAGGGGTGGAGAGGGGGCTCTCAGGAGTAACATTTGAGGTGGGCGGCTGACTCAGGGGCCTCCTTGAGAGCTGGAGCCTCTGTGATTCCCTGCCCCAAGTCCCTAGAGTTTTAGCCGCTGACTACCCTGAAAAATGGGGTGCAAAGAGACTTACAGCTTCAAAGAGACACTTGAAGAATTTGATGTCCTGGTCCATGGAGTCCACCTTGGCCTGCAGCTCAACCTTGTTGGCATAAGCTGCATCCACATCCTGAAAGAAGGCCAAGAGATTCACGGTCACCACAGGTGCCATCCAGAAGGTGACATTCATCCCCAGCCCAGCTGCCTGGCTGGAGGAAGAAGACATTATCTTCTCCTGTGTGGCTCATAAGGAAGGCAGTAGGGACAGTTGAAGGTGCAGCCCTCATCTCCCATCCTGAGAATCTGATCCATGAGCAGGAATGAGAACCTTCAGAAAGGGTGTCCCAGCCAGGCTGTTGCAAAAGTCACCTCTGCAACATCTGAGCCGAGTCCCAGGGCTGCAGGGAGCCCCTCACGCTGGTTCCTCCCCTGTCATCCTCCCGGCCCCTTCCTTCCTTCCTTCTCCTGGATGTCATGGTCCTCCAGCCTTCCCATTGTTACTTCTGCATCAGCTCATTTGGGGACTGATGGCAGCGCACATTGATAGGCTCAGCCTCTCTGGCCAGCCCCTGGTCTTGGGACCGCCTTCCGCTCACCTTCTTTAGCAGCACAAATTCGTTCTCGGCAGCTGTCCTCCGGTTGATCTCCTCCTCGTACCTGTGAGAAGGCCAGGGATCATAGCTTACACCCTTTGCCAAGAGCCCTGATGGACCCAGGGAAGACCCTGAGTATGGAAAAGAGTGCCAGCCAGTGGGGCACAAAAGACTGAAGGGTCAGCCGAGCAAGGAAGGCTTCCTGGAGGAAGGGATATAGTGGCCAATTTCGGAAGAAGATCCAGCTTGGAAATGAGGAGGAAGTGTGTGGAGCTAATGGCCCTTGGGGAACCCAGGGGGAATGCAGGAAGCAAGCTGCCTCATACCAAATGTGAACGGTGCCCAAGTGTTCCCATGCTCTTTCTCATCACAGAAGCTCTGAGAATGTGAAAGGTTTACCCAACTTTGAGCCTAGGCCAGAGCTCTGATCACGGCCCAGCTACTTATACATTTGTCCCCAGTGCCAGTCCGGAGGCCAGGGATCAGGGAGCACGTTCTGGGTTTTTGATGTGGTGACTCTACTTGGTATAGCCTAGAACACCACTCTCCACCTCCAAAACTTTGAAACCAAACTTTTAAACCCTTCAGAGAGACAAGGCTCACTGTCCTGTGACAGGCTGTGTCCTCACTCACTTCTTCTTGTAGTCCTCCACCACATCACGCACATTCCTCAGCTCGGAGTCCAGCCTCACTCTGTCCCCAGACAGCGTCTCCAGCTGCTTCCGCATGTTGCTGATGTAGCCCTCGAGGATGGGCTCCAGGTTGTTCTTGCAGTTGTTCAGGTCCAGCTGCTGCAGGAGCTCCCACTTGGTCTCCAGCACCTGGTTCTGCTGCTCCAGGAAGCGCACCTGGAACCCAAGCCCAGCCACCTTTGAGTCCCACGGAATCCATCACACTCGCCACACAAGGCCCTTAGGCTCAGCACTCCGGCTGCGTCTTTTCCTTTACTCCTTACAGCTGTAAGAGGTGGCCTGCTCTGATCAGAGGTGGGTTGGCCATGATCAGTGGAGAAGACACCGGGGCATGAAGAAGTCATGCTTCTTCCCAAGGTCCAGAAGTTTAGTCAAGGGCAGAGCTCAGGACTAAACCCAGACAAGTGTCCCCTCACTGTGGACCTCCAATCAACCAGAACCCACGGTGACCAAGCAGAGTAAAGTGTGAGCACACCCAAAAGCAGCAGCACAGAGCCAGACTGGGTGCATCTGTTTGGAAAGGCCACCCACTCTGAAGATGAGGTCCGCTCCTTATCTTATGACATGGCAGAGTTCAGTGGGGCTGGAGCCAAGAGCTTCCGAGTGTTTCAGACTCCCACACTGGGCCCCACCCCATCTCTGCTCACAGATGCTGCCCCCCAACACATGAACACACACATGTGCAGCTCTAGAACTACCTTGTCTGGAGCAAGCATGGAATATGGAACCAGAGGGACAGACAGAGCCTGGCTGTCACCAGATCAGGGAACTTACCAGAGATCATTAGCATACACCCCCCAGCTGGTTATGGAGAGCACAATTTTTTAAAATTTGACTTCTTTTTTTTTTAACATCAGTGAACACAGGCACACTTAAGCAAGGCTGTGTTCACAAGAAGTGGGAGCACCACGTGGAACTCTGCACTGAGAGCTGAGGACATGCACCAAACTTCTGGTCTCTAACAGATCATTCAGCACTTAGTTTGGTTTAACCAATCCAGAGTTCTTCCTGAGCTGAGCATTAACCACATCCGGGACACTACAGTACCCAACATGCCACTAGGTCACAGCTAGGTCACCAATAGGTCTTGACATCTCCTCTCTGCCTGGGATTAAGTGATCCACTGATCCACAGTGCTCTTGAGAGCAAAGCTCCTGAGAGTTAACCAGGCTTTGGGTCTCCTTCCTACCTCTTGAGAAGACCACCCTCATCTTGCTTTTCTGTGTCTCTGAATTTGCCCCTCTGTAGGGTCTGGACAGCCCACCCAGGTGCAGAACACTCCCACCCCCAGACCTAAATCCTCAGAGCACCTTGATGGTCTAGACGTGACTAGCTTGAGGACAAGAAGCTGCCGCGCCAGCCTTGGCCCCTGAGACTGAGCAGAGGGCGAGGCCTCCACACGGGAAGACTAGCACTGTGGGGCAGGGGCTGCTCTTGTGGCCACAAGGCCCGGGGCTGTGATGCTTGACTGTCATGGGGCCAACACATCCCTTCCAACTCTGACCCTAGACCTGTAGGTAGGAGACTGAGGGTGAACCCTCACCCAGCCTGTCCTCCAAATGGCTGTGGGTGTGGCGTTGGCCTCTATGGCTTTGCTGACCCATAAGCTGGGGGAAACTGTCCCTCATATACCACAGCCAGCATCCTGGCTGAGCTGGAGGATCCCTGAGGTCCTGTCCAGGTCTGAGGTTTCTCTGCTTCCCAGCATCCCTCCCCAGCAACAACAGCCACCACTGGGGGAGGATTTAGTCTGAGACAGGCATTGTGCCAAGACCTTCGCAGGAGCCTTCTTTTCTAAACTAACGCAAGCCCCACGGGAAGGTCATGATTTCCACACTAGAGGTAAGAACATAATGACCTAGATGGAGCAAGTAATTTCCCCCCCCCAAAGCCACCCACACAGTCAGTCATAGGCCAATTCTGACTCCAGAGAGCCTCTACCCCTACCTTGCAAGAGTACCCTCAACCGCTGATACAAACACCCACCGCGGAGACATCCTGTAGCCCAAAGGGCCTGGGGTGACCACACACCCGTTGATACTCCTGATCCACCAGTCAGGTGACTAGGGTACACGGTCAGCGTGCCTGGGAGGAAGACTGGCTTTCTGGTTGCCCTGAGGCTGATTCTCCTCCTCCTGGCCTTCCCTGTGTACAGCTTCGCATGACCACAAGGCTCAGCAATGGTACCAGGCCAGGTCTCCACAGCAAGGCCCAGCTCTCTTCCCTAGGGTTCTCCTGTGAGTGTCCCTGAAAGCCTGTACCAGCAAAAACAACCCCTGCTGGTGTTTTTCTCTCCGGACAACAGAGAATCTTTTACAGGATGCTGAGATGAGAGAACGCACACGTTGTGTACAGTAAGGGTACCAACTGCAGTGCCTCCTGAGGGACTGGAGATCCCTGCTCCAGGAGGAGGAGAGGAGAGCTGTTCCCAGGTCCCCCCGTTCCAGCAAACCCACCTTGTCGATGAAGGAGGCGAACTTGTTATTCAGAGCCTTGATCTGTTCCCGCTCCTGCGCACGCACTTTCTGGATCTCCGGGTCCAGCTCCACGTTGAGTGGGGCCAGGAGGCTCTCGTTGACTGTGACCTGGTGGATGCCGCCGGGCGGGCACACAGCCGGGCACACAGGTCCCAGGGCCACACTGCCAAAGATGCTGCCAGCAAAGCCACTGGCCCGGTTCCGGCTAAATCCAAAACCTCCGTTCTTCCCGCTGCCACTGGCCATGTTGAGAGTGATGCTCCTGGCGCCTCCCAGGCTGTAGAGACTCCGACTACCAAAGCCCCCACTGAGTCCTTTGCCCCCTGCCCGGTAAGAGGATGAGCTGCCCCCAGACAGCACAGCAGAGCAGCCGCTGAAGCCCCTGTTGCCGGAGCCAGACTTGCAGGTGAACTGGCGACTCATGTTGCTGGTGGAGATGGAGTACAAGGACGGGAGGAAGGTGAATCCCAGGAAGGTTGTACTGGCTGTGGTGAGGACCAGCGGCTGCCTTTATATACGTGTGGCGCTGGGCTTGCAGATGGGCAGTGGAGAGCTTAATTCGTGGGTTTGGCTTGCCTAGGAGCAAGAAGTCATTTTCTCTGTGCTGAGCCAGAGATCGGCCTTCCCCACCTCTGAAACAACATGAAACTGTCAAGTTGCTGGGCTTGCAAACCTTGCTCAGGTAATTTGGGTCTTATCTAATTAACCCACTGTTATAAGGTAATTTGCCCCAGGCCACAGCCTCCCCAGGGGAATGTCACTGGCACAGTACCATCTTTCTCAGATTTATCTCTGTGGTTGGCGTCCTTGCAGAGGGGTTCAGGGAGCAGAGATGACATGGACATTTTGGATAGAGTTGCCCACAACAAGGACTCTATCATAGCTGTATCCTCTGTCCTAGAAAAGAGAAACCCCACAGAGCATCCATTCTCCCCAGGCCTCCTGCAGACAGAAGCCTTAGAGAGAATTGGCTCTTTGCTGGGGGACTAGAGTGACAGGACCCTATCTTTAGCGTTGAGCAGCCCAGGTCACAACAGCTATGGGATCATGGCAACCACATGTTTATCACACTTTCTGGAGAGAGCTAGATGTCCGCATTGCACCTCCCAAACATCCACAGTCAGGTTGTTAAGTGGGTGAAGGAGAGGACAAGCCTTTGGGTCACTGGAGAAAATGAAGAGTCAAGAGCATGGAGTTTGGTGGGGACTCACTGGCAGCAGGTAGAGAGGACAGACAGGATGGACATGGTCTGGGGAGTTCAAAGGCATACCATGGGAACTTCACCATGTCCCACACTCTTGCCGTGTGCATCAGCTAGGAAAGGCATGAATCGCCCTCAACCATGAACACTAACTCCAGATACTGTGTCCAGACCTGAGAATTCAGGAGTTGAGCCTGGCTGAGGCCATTCCTAGGAGTCCAGACTTCACACAGCTAAAGTCAGAAAGCCCTCAATGGGAGTACGGCTGTGCATCACACCAAACAGTTTTTTGGTGACTTCCCCCCAAAGGCTCCATCTGTGGTCCCCTCTATCCTGAGTCATTGGCTCCCATGATGAGCCCCAGTCCCCTTCACTGATCACCTTGGTCAGCCCATGGCTGCCTCACCTCTGGAGAATGGCCTGTCTCAAAGGTCCCCACCAGGGCCCCAGAGTGAGGTGGGGCTCTCAGTTGAATAGGGTCCTGAAGGGAGAAAACTCTGAGCACAGGCTAGGCTGGGGCTCCATCTGGGTTCATTGGGCATGGAACCCAGTCTCCCCAGCTTTCCTTTCCTCTCCCTCCTGCCATCTTGTCTTCATTGCTGATGTCCAAACAGCATCATGGCTTGCTTCCTCCTCCCTCTTTCTCCCTGTCTCTCCTCCACCCACCCTTTGTTCCCCCATCTCTTATTCTCGTGCTCTATCCAGCCTCCTCATGGATCTTCCTGGACCAGGACAGCTGGCGTCTGAGCTCTGCTCCCCTCTCAGTCCTGGGCATGCTCTTGGATGTGTGGTAAGACGGTGACTGTGGAAGCGACTTCCTCAACACTCCTCTGAAGACCCCCCTTTTGTAAAGAGAGCAGAGCTTCCCCAGATGTCCCCAGAACTTTCCCAGGGGCCACCTAGCACACTTCTCTCCCTTCCTCCCACCTCTGTCCGCTTGCCAGCCTGAGTACCCACAGTACATCTGTGTGATGCTCAAGGGTTTTTCAGTGCTCTCAGGGCACAGCCCTGGCACAGCATCCCTGTCAACGGCTTGGCCAGCTGTACATTCCATGATAAATACGGCAGCACCCCAGCCCGGCCAATAATGTCCTTCATCCTCTGCTCCTACCCACTCTCTGTTCCTTGCTTCTCCTGGCCTGCCCATGGGCATCCCATCCACTGGGCTCATCTTCAGTGCCCTCCAACATTTTGCCGTTAGGCCCCACACATCCCTGACCTCTTCTCTCAGCACCTTCTGGCCCACATCCCTCTGCTCCTCTGAAATGTTGCTGAAACCCCGGTCTCTGGCTTGGCCTGTCTTTTCTGCACTCTGGTCCTCTGTCTGTGACAGCTGCGTGTGGGAAATGGTGTTTTCTGAATATGTCGAGAGTCCTGTAAGCTAAGTGATGCCTCCCTCTGAGGACTCCTTGCAGTCCAGGATCAGCCCCGTACCAGTGGGCATCCCCTTGCTGAAGACACAGCAAACAGTTCTATGGGATGTTGGACTTTGGTCCACCTGGAGTGGCACCAGATGGAAACCCAGACCCCAGGACTCAATTTCTTCTCCACCACATTTGGCCTTCCTGGTCTTGGCTTCTCCCAGGGAGAATGGGGCAATAGACATAAACGCAGGAGCAACAAGGATCTAAACAAAGCGCTCCCTAAGGCCTGAAACATTCTCAAAGTCCAATAACCGGTGTCAGTGACTAAAGAGCCAGAGGCTCAGCCTGGCTTCCCTCCTTCCTCTCCAGTATGGCCTCCACATCAGCACATTCCCATACAGTGGCCTCAGATGCTGAGGACAGGGAAAGGGTGGTGACCCTACACACCCTAGGCTCTCCCAGACTGCTGCTGATCCCAGAAAATTGACCATTACAAATAATAGGCACAGTCATCAAGAGGTTGCCAAGTATAAAACTCAGTAGGAAGCACTGTATAGGTGTTATGTCACATCTGTTGGTGTTGATTCATTTATCACATCTTTGTTGGACATAGAACCAACTTCGGATGCGAACAGTCCAAAGTGCCCTGCCTCCAAAGAGCTTATTCTTGGTGTCTTTGTCCTACAAAGGCAAGTGTCCCTGAGAGAAACAGCTCACTAGGTTATTACCAAGTCATTTACACAGTAGCATGAATGAGTTAATCAGATACTGGCCATGAGGGATGGAACGCCCTGTGTTGCTGATGAGGATGATAATAGAGGAGGAAGCAGGAGATCTGGACCACCCACAGGAAGGGTGGGCCCAGATCAGGTACCTGGGATGCTCACACTTTGCTAGAGGGTAAAGGGAGGGTGTAAAGAAAACCAGAATGAGCCCCAGTTCACCAAGGGTACAAAGGCTCTGTCCCTGCGTTAGCTGAGATCTGGAGAGAAGTGGGGCAGGGGAAGACAGACCCCCGCTTTAGGAATCCCATGGCCTGATGGTAGAGACCTTACCCACTTGTCCCCATGCAGGTGGCTCCCTGACAGAACTGACAGCTGGTGATGCTCAGCCAGCCACACGTGTCTTAGGGCCACAGCATAGCTCACCTGTAAAATGGGAAGACTACAAGGTCATAGAATAAAACCCTGAAGATAACAGGGAGATCTGACTTGGGCATTCAAGGCAGGTGGCTTAGCCAATCAGCTTTATCTGTGTGTGTGTGTGTGTGTGTGTGTGTGTGTGTGTGTGTGTGTGTGTGTGTGTGTTTGTGTGTGTGTGTGTGTAGTTCTGTGTGTGTGTGGTGTGGCTGTGTATGTGGTATGTGTATGTGTGTGTGTGGTGTGTGTATGTAGTTGTGTGTATGGTATGGTTGTGTATGTGGTGTGGTTATGTTGTATGTTTGGTGTGTGTAGTTGTGTATGTGATGTGGTTGTGTATGTAGTGGTGTGTGTGGTTATGTTGCATCTTTGGTGTGTGTGTGTTTGGTGTGTGTATGTAGTTGTGTGTATGGGGTGGTTGTGTATGTGGTGTGGTTATGCTGTTGTTTGGTGTGGTGTGTGTGTGTCTGTGTGTCTTATCAAATCAGCTTTATCTCTGTGTTATGTTGGTTTATACTCAGCTCTTCTATTTTGTTTGTACGAGTAAATTGTATTTTCTCTCCATCTGTGCTTCCGTGTGTGGTGACAATCAGGTTAACACATTTGTGTACCATGCATGGCTTTGACTGGCACATCTGCTGACCTTTTCCAGAGGTCTTGGGTCAGGAAGCCTCTTAAGAGAAAACCTCTGGGCGAGACTTGAGTCCCCGAGGCTGCAGCTGCCGGGTTGGAGAAGGGAATGAACAAAGCAGAGAGGCTTGGGAAACTAACGCTCATGGGCTGCCTGCAAGAGAGACTTAGATTTCAATCTTTGAAGGGAAGAGGGCTTGAGTTGACCCTTAAGAAGTAGGGAAAGCATCCTAGGATGGTGAGGGGCAGGTCATTTGTGAGGGAAAGACCCACTAGGCTGAAGTGATTAGAGGGTGACCTTGGGTAGAGAAACTCCAGATCTCTGTGTGTGTCAGGGAGTCACTGAAGACTGTTGAGCCTGAGAGAGCTTAAACGGCACATGTCTGAGGAGGCAGAATCTAGCCCTGTGTGGGTAGAATTGGGGATGGGAGAGGCTAGAGGCACCAAGAGAGGGGCAGGTGGTTCTCTGAGCAAAGTAATTATCTCCAAAATTAGAGAAAATGAGCTGGGCTATTCGGATGACATCAGCTCAGGTCCTTCCAGCCCTCCTCAGCAGAGGGACCAGGTCATGAGCATGCTGTTTGTGAAGCCCCAAGAGTGGTCTCCTTGCACTCTTGTGGCCTCAGGTAGGCAGTGCCCTCAGCCTGAGCCAGATGGAGTGACTTCGGACCTTGGAGAGGCGGCCGCAATCAGACCACTTGAAGGGCAGGAGAAATGCTCAGCATTTTTGGTACTTAAAAGGCCAGAGATGAACCCACCCCAAAGAACTGGGGTATAAAGGACAGAGGAATGTATCTTGATGGAGAGATGCCATTTCGGACAGCCCTGTCCCCTGTCCCCTCCATGGGCTGTCTGCCCGGGACACTTCCTTTGAGCATGATTGACCATCTCTTTGCCCAATTCCATACCTCTGGCATAGTGTGTGAACTTGTGACTCTGAGGACCCCATGTCATAGCCTCACCTGGGCCACTCATTACCTGTGTAACAGTGGGTAGGGCTTCTACCTTCCTATGCCCCTGTTTCTACATCCCTAAGGAGGGGGACACCAACGTCTGGTCCACCCACTCCCCGAGGTGGATGGAAGATAC